GAGTAGGGAGTGATGGCTAAGGGGTATGGATGGGGGTTTCTTTTTGGGGTAATGAAAATGTTCTCAAATTGGACTGTGCCCCTGGCTGCACAACTCTGAATACTCTAAGAGCCACTGAACTGTACACTTTATATGGGTGAATTGTATAGGAAATTCTCAAAAGGTTTCAAATTTATCAAACCAACGAATACTTATTGACCATCTAACGGGCATCTACTCAGTTCTACATAAGTTACAAAACAAGTACAGGACACCAACCCTGACCTCAAATTGCTCACAGTTCAGGAGAAAAGGCACACGTGCAGCATATAATAATGCACTTTAGTACTATGAATGTGTGTCTTTCTTTCTCGGGGCAGTCAACTCTCTGAACCTGGCTTTCTGATTCCTAACAGCCATTGGGCTAGGGTCTAATGAACATATAACTATGACAAGACCAGTCCCACTCCCGTCCCTCTGTGGGGGCCTGCAGAAGTCATCAACAACCACATAGTTATCTTGTCAGAGAGCAACCTATAGGATTCTTAGGGAGCCGAGGCTGGGCCTGTCATCTAATAACTGAAATAATTTGAGAAAATGTTTCCTAATTAAACAGAGGTCACGACAGCTTGGCAAGTGTGGGCTGAGTGAGAGCCCCTATGCCTGGGTCCTCCTCCCTGGGTGTTTTGTTTTTTTTTTAATCTGTTTTTTTTTATTAAATAAATTTATTTATTTTTTTTGAATTGTTTATGCTGTTACAGTTGTTCTATTCCCCCCTTCATTCCCCTCCACCCTGCCCCCCCAACCGCCCCATTACCCCCCCTTTAGCTTATGTCCATGTGTCTCAAGTCCTTTAGGTTCTGTATTTCCCATACTATTCTTGCCCCCCCATCTATTTTCTATCTACTGTCTATGCTACTTATTTTCTGTACCTTCTCCCCCCTTCTCCTCCTCCTACACCCGTTGCTAACGCTCCTTGAGATCTTCATTTCTGTTTCCACTCCTGATCTAGCTGTCCTTTTAGTTTGCTTTCGTTTTAGGTGTGGTTGTTAATAACTGTGAGCTTGTTGTCCTTTCACTGTTCATGTTTCTTTAACTTCTTTTTCTTAGATAAGTCCCTTTAACATTTCATATAATAAGGGCTTGGTGATGATGAACTCCTTGAATTTGGTCTTATCTGAGAAGCACCTTATCTGTCCTTCCGTTCTAAATGAAAGTTTTGCTGGGTAGAGCAATCTTGGTTGTAGGTCTTTAGTTTTCATGACTTGGAATATTTCTTTCCAGCCCCTTCTTGCCTGTAAGGTCTCTTTTGAGAAATCTGCTGACAGCCTGATGGGGACTCCTTTGTAGGTGATTGTCCCCTTAGCTCTTGCTGCTTCCAGGATTCTCTCCTTCGTTTTAATTTTGGCTAATGTAATTATTATATGCCTTGGTGTGTTTCTTCTTGAATCCAACTTTTTTGGTACTCTCTGGGCTTCTTGGATTTCTTGGAAGTCTGTTTCCTTTGCCAGATTGGGGAAATTTTCTTTTATTATTTGTTCAAATAGTTTTTCCACTGGTGGTTGTGTCTTTCCCCCTTCTGGTACCCCTATAATTCGGATATTGGAGCGTTTATAGATGTCCTGGAAGTTCCTAAGCTTCTCCTCATTTTTCTGAATTCTTATTTCTTCATTCCTTTCTGATTGATCATTTTTTTCTTCCTTCTGGTTCACTCCATTGAGTTGAGTCCCAGTTTTTTTTTTCATCTCTATGGGTTTCCTGTGGAATTCCATTCATTTCCCTTAATTTAGCCTTCATATGTTTCTCTAATTTGTGGCTATAGTCCACCAAATCTGTGAGGAAGCTGACGACCAGTGTTTTAAACTGTGCGTCTGAGAGATTTGCTATTTCTTCGTCACTTAGATTTATCTCCGGGACTTTGAGGTCCCCCTGCGACATTTTTGGTCTGTTCTGGCCCTTTAAGTGAGAGAAGCGGCGCCTTGGAGTCCCAGGTCGCTGGGTTGTGACGCTGTATGTGGGGGCGTGGTCAGAGCGGGGAAAATGGCGCCGCCGCCTCCGCAGCGGGTCCCACCGCTCACTCCCTCACCCGCGTGTATCCGGACACCCACAGTCAACTCGCTACCACCGCCTCCCCGCTGACTCCTCCGTAGTCGCTCACCCGGTGGGCTGCTCACTAGGTCCAATCCTGGGTTTGGAACCCGCGTGAATGTCGCGCGTCTGGATTCCGCGCCTGCGCCCGGTCGATCGAGTTTTCCTTTGTAACTCCTCACCCGCCGCCGGTTTCGCCCCTTACCGGTCGGGCCGAAGAATTTGTTGTTTGCGGACTTCCGAAAAGTTCAGTTTTCCGTGTTCTGGTTGTGTTTTCTGATGCTAATATTTAGTTGTCCTTAAACTTGGTTGTGAGAGGAGGCAAGGCACATCCACCTTAAACCTCCATCTTGGCGGAAGTCCCTCCCTGGGTTTAAAAATGCCCAAAGTAACCTGGCCAGGTGGCTCAGTTGGTTGTAGCACCGTCCCAAGCACCAAAAGGTTAGGGGTTTGATCCCAGGTCAGGGTTGCATATAGCAGGCAACTGATCAATGTTTCTCTCTCACATTGATGTCTCTTTCTCTCTCCCCTTCCAAAATCAATAATAAAAAATATCCTTGTGTTAAGATTAAAAGAAAAAAACTAAAAATCACACATCCAGAGTAAAGAAATAGCACAGATTCTCCTTAGCTATGGCTGCTGAAGGTGTGGCCTATTCCTCCAGCGGGAAGGCTGTACACACCAGGCCACCTCCCTCTGCCCTCAGAGTCTGGCAGCAAAGGCCACTCTGCTTGAGGAGGTGGGCTTCGGGGCTTTACAGGGAGACAAGGCCCTCTTCTGCCTCCTACTGACTTAGCGAAGCAGTTCAGAAAAACTAAGAGCTCCTGGTAAACAACTAAGGCTTCGCTCCGCTCACTTAACAGCGCGAACAGACCAAAAATGGCTCTAGAACAACTCAGAGCCCCAGAACCGATAGACCTAAGTGATGAAGAAATAGCCAGTCTTTCAGATGCACAGTTCAAAACACTGGTTATAAAGATCCTTACAGAACTGGTTGACTTTAGCCACAAATTAGAGAAACATATGGAAGCTAAATTAATTGAAATGAATGGGGATACAAAAGATTCCAATAGTAATGGAAAGAAAATTGGGACTCAAATCAAGGGAGAGAACCAGACGGAAGAAAAAAATGATAAAACAGAAAGGAATGAAGAAATAAGAATTCAGAAAAATGAGGAGAAGATTAGGAACCTCCAGGACATCTTTAAACGTTCCAACATCCGAATTATAGGGGTACCAGAAGGGGGAAAGGCACAACCACCAGTTGAAAAATTATTTGAACAAATAATAAAGGAGAATTTCCCCAAGATGGCAAAGGAAATAGACTTCCGAGAAATCCAGGAAGCTCAGAGAGTCCCAAAGAAGTTGGACCCAAGAAGGAACACACCAAGGCACATCATAATTACATTAGCCAAGATTAAAATGAAGGAGAGAATCCTAGAAGCAGCAAGAGCTAAGGGGACAGTCACCTACAAAGGAGTTCCCATCAGACTGTCAGCTGATTTCTCAAAAGAGACCTTACAGGCAAGAAGGGGCTGGACAGAGGTATTCCAAGTCATGAAATCCAAAGACCTACAACCAAGATTGCTCTACCCAGCAAAACTTTCATTTAGAATGGAAGGACAGATAAAGTGCTTCTCAGATAAGACCAAATTCAAGGAGTTCATCATCACCAAGCCCTTACTATATGAAATGTTAAAGGGACTTACCTAAGAAAAAGAAGATAAAAAAGATGAACAGTGAAAGGACAGCAAACTCACAGTTATTAAGAACCACACCTAAAACAAAAGCAAACTAAGAGGATAGCTAGATCAGGAGCAGAACCATAGAAATGAAGAGCACATGGAGGGTTAGCAATAGGGGAGTGGGAGGAGGGGAAGGGGGAGAAGGTACAGAAAATAAGTAGTACAGACAGTAGATAGAAAATAGATAGGGGGGAGGGTAAGAATAGTAGGGGGAAATACAGAATCTAAAGAATTTGAGACACATGTTCATGAACTAAAGGGGGAAATGGTGGGGGAGGGGTATGCAGGGTGGAGGGGAGGGGAGGGGGGAATAGAGCAAATGTAATGGCATAATCAATAAAAAAATAATAATAATAAAAAAAAATTAATCCTCAAAAAAAAAAAAAAAAAAAAGAAAAACTAAGAGCAACAAAGATCCTTAATGAAGACCAGGAGCTGTGGTCACGAAAACCTGTAAGTGTGTGTTTGGAGGAAGGAGGGCTACAATAGGAGAGACACGAGTAAAGTTGGCCATGGACAGTCTGGGGATGGGAGGCTGCAGAGAGAACCATAATACTGAAGAAAACTGAAGAAAAAAAGGTCCAGAAACCTGGTGGTCCCTTTACAACCAGGAAGGCTTTCTGAAGCTAGCATCTATCTTAAATGGATAACAAGGAAACTGCAGTTCATATTCAAAGTGTCCGGGTACTGAGGACTTTGGGCTCTAGGGCTCTGTTCTACCCCGAGGCGACTTGGGCAATGTCGAGCTTGATATCCAGTGGCCCCATGAAGCACACATGTGCACATAGGTTCTAAAGCCTAGGGTGCACATCAGAAAGCTGTTTAAATTTCACCAACACGTGTATTCAGCCAAATTTTACAATAAGCATTCTCTAATGTGTTCATATAATAGTGGCAATCAAAACTTAGAATCTTACTTAAGCTGGGAAATGTATATGGTTTAAGACAGAATAACAAGTAAAACCCTAGTCAGTGAAGAAGAAACTCTCATTTTGAGCATTATGAATTATGCACCTTTTCCTGAACTGCCTAGAAAGAACATTTCCTATTTGAATTAAGTTGCTTGGGCCCAGACTGGCCTGAGGACTCAGCAAACAACTTAGCAACATCACCCTACTGCCAAGCTAGCATCATTGCACCGCAATCCTATTTGAACTACAGCCACTAACATGATAGTGGTCTCCTTACCTTTCACGACATCAGCGACATTGCAGGTGGGATCAATACTTCCGATGTGTTTAGGATGAGCAGGATTAGTGTCACCACCAAAGAGAAGTGCTAAACAAACACAAAAGGGAGGGGAGAGATTATAAACAAAGCCAGCTGGGATGGTCAGGCAGAGAAATAGAGGATTCTCATATTTGTAAGAATCATTTTAGTATCCAGTGACTTACAGAAATAGAAAACAGGGTGGGGCAAAAGGTTTACAGCTTCGAGCATGTGAAACAGAGTTTATTCTTATATTTTCATTTATTACTGTGTTATTTTCCATACAATCAACTGTAAAACTAGTTTTGCCCCACCCTGTATACATAACGAGGGAACGACAAAGGATGTGCTTTAAGACCTGCCAGTTGCACTTAGCAGGTCCCAGAGCAGTGACACATGCCAGGTGTCCAACCCTTTCTTCCCGACCCAATGTGACGTGGATGAAAACACTTCCTTGCATCCTTAGCCAGGTTTACCCACCTTCTTAGTACTACAGCAGACATTTAATCCAACACTCACTAAATAGTTAGAAAACACAGTCTGCAGCATTAGGCCAGCCTTGGGAAATGTCTTCATTGTGAACATGTCAAACGCCTCCATCGTGGAGATTTGTTTTCCGTGTAGTATACACAAATGATAGTTGTTCAAGTATCTTCAAAAGTACAAATGCTTTCACAATACAAAAGATTAGCAAAGCCGTACTTGCAAATAAAAGCCAAAAGGAGCCCCAAAGGAAACAACAATCTGAACTCAAGTGTTCACAGGCATACATATATACAGGGTCTGGCAGAAATAATGCCTCTTTTTTACTGCGGAATCCTTTATTTGAAATTTTTTATTGTTGTTCAGTTACAGTTGTCCCGCCTTTCCCACCCCACCCCCCGTCGCTCTCCTCTACCCTGCCCCCCACTCCCACAGTCAATTCCCCCTATTGTCCGTGCCCATGAGTTCTCTGTTCATGTTTCTTTGCTTGCCCCTTCCTCTTCTTTGCCCATTAAGCCCCTCCCCTCTGGTCAGCGTCCATTCGTTCTTTACAAAATCTTTTATTACCAAATCATAAGCATGTCATTCTATAACATAACAATATCACACTCAAGCACACCATGTGACATCTTAGGTGAAATGTTCACGTTAAAAGTATAAATTATGACACCCATATTATTACCCTACCAATCACACTCAAGCAGGCCTTACTTCTGCCAGACCCTGTAAATATTTATTTTTTTGGTGTACTTACTTTTACATCAAACAAACACTGGAAATAACTTGGATTTCATGAAAGGAGAATGTGTAAATAAAATAGGGGAGATTTTAAAGTATAAAAAATGATGACTATGGACAATGGGTCAATAGGGAAAGTTCTAACTGATTAGGTGAAAGAAAACCAGAAGTGACGAGCTTAGTCAGCGCTCTAGAAACACGCACGTATATATGCAGACACACATATTTGGGTCAGAGAGAAACTGTATCTAAGTAGTTCAGTTAAATAGTATTTCGTTCTCTTTTTTTCCTTTCAAATTTCCTGTAAATTGTCATATACTTCTTTGTTTAATAACAAACTATCTTTATTGTCACATCATCGGCATGACAATGCTTTGATTACAGTTTTAAAGAGTTATATGTTTTGCTTGAAACTATTCGTTTCAGGTATACAGCACATACAGTTCTATTTTTAAAAGATAGACATTTAGGACCAACCCACATTTAATAATTGTATAACATTCATTTATCCAAATAAATAAAGTTAGTAAAATAAAGGTGCATTGTCCATTTTCTGATTCAGCAAAGAGGATGATTTAGACTCTAGATGTCTGGATGCTTTTTCATAAGAATTATGAAAACAGGCCAAGAGACAATGCTGAAAATAAGCCAAAAATTTTTTTTGTGGCAAGAATTTTAGTTTTGCTTTTCTTATCTGCTCATCAGCCTGGAGAGTGGATTAAAACTCTCAAGACAAGATTATGGTTTGATACTTCGCTTAATCTGATTTCACTGATCACTGTGACATTAAGGATCAATTGCTCATACTGTCAATATGCCAATATTCTCAGAAGGGAAACTACCTAACATCCTGGATAAAGACTAGAACTTTCTCTCAGAGACACGAATGTGGCTGCCATTAAAGCTGGACCTTCGCCACCACCAGAAACATAACAGCAGATGCTTAAAGGCAAACCGTGGCCATGTCTCCAATAGGAGAATCAAAGAGCCTTTCAAGGATTTGTTTCAAATGACCAGCTTTTTAGTAGATAAGATTTACTTAGAAAAAAACTGAACTAGGAATGAAATTTCTACAGACGGAAATGTAGACCTGTAACAGGAAAACATTTGGAAGAAATCACTCTGGTTATGACTTCAAACCTGGGCCAAAACCCCAACTTACTGTGCTGATTAATAAGCATGCGGAAGGAGATGCGGTTGGTATAGAAGCGATCCAGAAAATACTGTATGTTACTGCTAATGAATGGATCGAACCCAAACTTCTCCTTGTATTCAATCACTCCTTGTGCCATTGTAGGAACCACATCATTGTGTCTGTTTCTGATTTTAATCAGAACTTGTAGAAAGCTGTGTGGGAGGGAAACAAGAGTAGTCAGTCTTTATATCTCATGGCTGATGCATAACCTTCCCAGCTCCATCTCTGGACGACTTATCTTCTGGTACTTTTGTAGGTGGGGACGACATAATCATTCCAGGTTACAAGGAAGAATTTGTGGGAAACTAAAGTATTGCCTAAGTTTTTGCTTGCAACTTCCCTACAGAAATTCTTCTTTGAGAAACACAGAAAGTAAATGGTTCCAGTAAAGAAAAAAAATGCTCAAATACCTTTTTAAGGAATCCACTGACTTGTTGGATAAGTGATTACACAGAATGCAGGTTCTATAAATATTTGCTGAATAAAGAATTGCAGAGCATATTATTTCTTCTGATGACATGAAGACAATTCAAAAAACATTTCCAAAGATTTATTATGCAGTCTGAATGCAATAGCTCCCATGAATAAATAATGTGAAACTTCTGAAGAGTAAAATTTTGAAATGTATTTCTCACAGCAGTGAAACATAACGATGAAATGTAGATAGAATAAAGGCAATTAAAACACCCATATTCAAGTATTACAGTATATTATTGTAAAGATGCAGAGGGAAAATATATGAAGGATGGTAAGTAACTAAGAAGAGAAAGACACGTCAATGGAAGCAAATAGAAAGCTCAGAAGCAGGACCACAGGTGAGTATGTGTGTGTAAAAATTGAGCATGTTGATAAAGCAACATTGCAAGTCAGCAGGGGAACGATCAAATTAGCTGGGACATCTGGGTAACATTTTAAGTCACAACCCAATTTTGAGTGTTTAGCCAAAAAGTGGGTTAAGAGATTTAAATGCAAAGGGGCAAAATCACAGCAAAGATAAAAGAAAATCAGGTGAGTAAGTATACAACCTTCAAGTAAGGAAGGCTGTTCTAGGCTTAATAGCAAAGGCAGAAACCATGTAGAAACAAATGATATGACCAGGTGGAATTTCAGCACTTCTGTCCAAAAACAAAGTGGAAACTGGGAAAAGTCTATTTGCAAGTGCTCAATAGAAAGATGAGCATCCTACTGGAAAACTAGGCAAGGAATCTGGTGTCAAAGGGAAATTTACCAGGGGAAATGCAAATACCAAAAACTTCACATTCACAAATAATAAAAGAAAAACAAATTAAATCAGTGCAACAGCTATTTTTAAGAGCTGTTCGTCAGAGCACTGTTCATAGTCACGAAAAAAACTACAAACCATTCTAACACCCAATAATAAAGAGTTCAAGTTCCATGACTTACCTGTAGATGGACCACTACGAAACTATGAATAATGGTGTAGATCTGTAATGTGGACATGGTTATTTTTGTAAAAAATATTTTATACTTAGAGAAATATGTATGCCTAGTTAAGAGTAGGGATGGAAGGAAATGTTAATAGTGTTGGCCCCTGGCAGTGGAAATGTGGAGTGACTTCCTTTTTACTTATCTGAGTAGCCTTTTTTTCCCCTATGATGAACTACGTCTGTAACAAATGCACACAAAGACAGCAAAGGTGAATAAATCAACTCTGAAATTAGGAGGTCATAATTACTCACAAGAAATTTTATGATGGGCAATTTGTCCTTTACCATAATGCTCATTCCAATATATTTGTAAATTAAATGGCACTAAAGTGAAACAATTCACTTGTAGAGAAGTGCCTTAAGTTATCTGAGGGGAGGAGACTTGCCTCCACAGTTCAATTCTCAGACTACTTCCCCAATCTTTGGTGGCTCTTCTAAACATTATCATTATACGAATGTGCTTCTCCTCCAAGCTGCTTTCACTTTACTTAAATGATGTCCCTGCCCAAGACTTCTATACAACCTCTCACTGAATGAAAAAGGCCACTACTATGAGTAAAAATGACTCACCTTGACTCCTTCCTTCACCATGAGCCCCAGGCTTCTAAAATCCCAACAACCCCAACGAACTAGCTGCAGGAACCTGAGCAAGTTATCGAAACTCACTGAGAGCTACTATCATCACAACCTTGTGCACACTGGCTGCAGCACTCGGCAGTATACAAAGCAGGCTCATCTCTATAAATTGCATCGGACAGACAACCTGTTCCAGAAACTGACACAGGACTCTGGGAACCACACAGCAGAAGTTCAATATCACATACTTCCACACACCTGGATCCTAAAATTTGAAGCTACAGAGAGTCCAGTCCTGATTTTTAGGATATCAGCCAAACAAACTGTTACTTGCTAGTGACTTCTGAGAAGACAAAGCTCCTGGCTTTGATTCATTTAATTTCAAAACCTTCAAAAACAGCAAGAGCAGATAGCAAGGAAAATGCTGTATCTGGAGCTCTAACCCAGTGCCTCCTTCCCACGTTTCACAGATTCATCACACAGAACACCTAGCAAAATGGAAAACAGATCAAGATTTTTTCCTCTTATATTTGAATTTACATGTAAACCTGACCTCGCTACTCACGGCTCAAACCAGCAGTTCTGGCAGTACGGTGCATTGTAAAGATCCATGCTGTAAGGGAAAGGAAATGTCATTTCCAGGGCTAGCCCTGGTACTAACTAATGGCATGATCTTGGGCCAGTCAGCTTACACCTGTGACCTCAGTGTTCTTGTGAACTGAGAGGCCTAGGTTCAATGCCTCGAGCTAAGGTCTCAGATAACATAGTGTTTCTCTAGGTATATTTTTTTATGGAACACCTATATTTAAGGTGTTCAGTCTCACAATTGTGTGGGCCAAGTTTCTACTTAGAAAGAAATTCCTCAACACAACAGGCCTGCCATATGCATGTACTCCTGTGTACAGGAACCAGGAAGGAAGAAAGTAATGTGGAAAGGATACTTAATTTCTCTTGCGGGCGAAAAACCCACGCTCAGAGCTAAGGTTCATGTTTTCTGGCTAAATGAAAATGAAAAACAGAAATATTTCCCACCAGACTGAGAATTTAGCAGTCTTCTTGCAGAATGGCGGCAGCAAGGAAGCTCAGGTTGCCATGGAAAAAGCACACTTTCTTCTGCTTGTCCGAAGTAAAGCCATTATTGTGTTTCTGAGTTCAAATGTAATACTGCTTTGAAAAAGAGTTTTTTAAAACTGTAAGGGACTGAAAAGATTATGTAATAGCTTATTGGTACAGTGGAAGAAAAGGACACTGAGCAAATCAAGAATTCAGAGAGCTCTCACCGATTAATCAGAAGGCAATGGAGAAATAAATGAAAGGACTTGTAGCTTATGTGGAAGAGAAGGGGCAAGAGGGGACATCCTTGTCTTGGTTCTGATCTTAGAGGAAAAGATTTCAGCTTTGCATTGGCCCTTCCTCAAGTGGGTAAAGAGATGAACAAGAAAGAGTAAGCAAGAGTAACAGGTTTAGAAGGCTGTAGGACAGATTTGTAAAGGACACTGGCAGAGTACTGGTGGATCCAGGGGTGAGATGACAGAGGTTAGACTGTCATATGTAAAGTTCTTCTTGCAAAATATAATTAAAGCATTTGTATAAGTTTCAGTATTACATAAAAAAAGTTTTAAAAACTTTCAGGGAACAATTTCAAACATCTCTCCTGCATCACACATTATTAAATCACTTAATCTATATGTAATAGAGCAGACTACAGTTTGTAAATCTAATTCATCAAGCAAAACTTTGAACTGTCTGTGGGAGTTAATTACTATAACCAGGAAGTAGTAATTTTGATGTAAAGCAGGCCTCAATGAATGATGGAATTAATATCTCAAGTAAACGTCTTTGTAAAATGTCAGCAACTCAGATTTAAGGTAACAATACACGATGCAAGAACATCAGTGGTCAGGATTACTAACTGTAAACAAGCTGCATGAAAATTTTAAGAGGTGTCCTAATGCAATAAAAAAATTAAAAATGTCATCATGCTCACAAATAGCCTGATTAGCTAACTGTATGCAATTTGTATCTGGATCGTTTTAAGCTGTAAAAGTAAAGAATTTGTAAGTCTAAATAAATGAGTGTTTACAAAATACTGTGAAGGACTGGGTAGGTAGGTAGATTCAAGCATATTCAGAGACCACTGCATTCTTAAAACGACCACTAGGTGGAACATTTACTGCAACATTCAGTGAGGGTCCACACCAGTTCCCCATGAGCGAACACTATTAAGAATTATTAGATCACAGCATGCTAAGTGAGATTAGTCAGATGGAGAAAGTCAAGAACCATATGATTTCACTCATATGTGGGATATAAAACTGAAATCAACAACTGAACAAATAAGAAAAACAAATGAAGAAAAACTCAGACACAGCCAACAGTGTGGTGGTCACCAGAGGGGAGAGGATGAGGGGAGGCAGTAAAGGGTATAGGAGGTCAATGGTGAGAGAAGGAGACTTGACTTTGGGTGGTGAACATGCAATGCAATATACAGATGCTGTACTATAGAATTGTACACCTGGAACCTATATAATTTTATTAAATGATGTCACCCCAATAGATTCAATAAAAAGTGTTTTTAAAGAATTAGATCATGAACCATAATTCAAGTGTCATTATTCATTTTGTACTGTTAAATTCTTAACTCGGTTTTTTAAAAACAAGTGCAATGTCGAGTTGTTGAAACCTAATATTTTAGTGCAAATCATACTTCTTGGTTCTTACTGACAGGAGCTCCATTCACCAAACTGTTTTTTTACCTAGATCTTTTTACTTTCACGTGAGTCTGTTACCATACTTACTTATCCAAGACCTTTGGATCCTCAGGGCTCTTATTTTCATAATCCAGAAGTTCAAGGAAGCTCTGCATATACCTGAAAGAGAGGAGTCAATGTGTCAACTAGCTACACAACACCCATTTCTCCTTTCCCCTTCCTTATAGTACCCCAAATTTTCATTCAGGTAACATCCCCTCCTCCCCACTCCCCCCATGTAGCCAAAGCGCTTCAGGAGATGCTGATGCCACACAGAGCTCCTGGGTGTCCCGACTTTTCTCTGGGTAATCCCATTTCTCTTGTCACTAATTCCTCATTAGTCTGATGGTCCACGTCTAAGCCTGTTACTGTGTTGCATATCCCTGGACACAGGGATTGGCTCAGGAATGGGCATAATATCTCAATTCAAACCTGAGAAATAAGAAAAAAGACTTGGTAGAGGTCTCTGGGAGAGAAACCAACTTGCTCTGCTTTTGTGTGGCTTGCTATGTGGACGTGAAGCCTGGAACTGCTGCAGCTATTCTGTCACCAGGAGGAAGTGCAGTGAGAAAATGAAGCCAACGCCATGGAAAGCAGTACCTTGGTAATAAGCTGATGAATCTGAATCAAACCAACACAAAGAGCTCATCCTATGGCTGAATCTTATAGTTACACAAGGCAATTAATTGTGTAAGCTGTGTTTAGTTGGATGTTCTGCTACTTACAAACATATTCTAATGGACAAACCAACTCTATAATTATATGTCCCCAAAAAGTGCATATAAATTATAAGTAGCACCTGTGTGATACTGAAGTGTGCACTAAGAACTTAGAAGCTAGAAATAAAGAAGGTAGCTTCTCACAGTTAAACTCTCTTAAACCCTCAGAGACAGCTTTGGGATTAAGAATAGCTCCATATCTCAATCAGGGACAGTATAAGAAATAATGTGTTCAACATAAAGAGCTAGAGAACATGGAAAAATGGGATCCAGAGAGGCACACTACTGGGGTAGCTACATCCAGACAGGACTTACTAGATCCCGTCGGGATTCAGAGATTTCAGTTACTCGGGGTGATCTCTGCTTTGGGTATTAAGATGTCCTGAAAGAACTCTCTTATTATTCTAATGATTGCTAGCAAATAATTACATTAATCCTACTAGCCAGCTTTAACAGAAGATGGGGGTACTTAAGCAATTAAAAATGACTGTTAAGCACATACACAGAAAAGACGTTTTGTTCATCAGCCTCACTTAAACTTTGTGACAATGCATGATACTAAAGTATGTTCATCTCTGGCTATATATTTTTCAAAGTCTCTGGAAAGATAAGGCTATGGATTAGATATTGCTAAAATCATCAGGTCAAATCACCCTGCGAGGTCACTTTTAAGAGGGAAAAGAAAATGACAACAAAACAGAATGCATGATCTTGCACTGGATTCTTAAATTGAGGGGGGCACAACAAAAAGAGAACACTATTAGACATTAGGACGGTGAATGAAATGAGAACAAGTTCTGCATATTAGAAAATTACTGGATCTGTTAAATTCTCAAATTTGATAATTATACTGTGGTTTTCTAAGAGTTATTCTAAGGAGATAACTACTAAATTACTTAGGGGTAAAGAGGCATGATGTCTACCATTAATACAATGGTTCAGGGGAGAAAAGCATATATATATATATATACCGTGTGTGTGTGTGTGTGTGTGTATCAATCACACACACACAGAGACAGAATATGAATGAGAATGGCAGAACAAATGTTGTCAAATGTCAACAATCAATAAATCTGCATGAAGGTTTATAATGGGAATTCTTGCCCCTAGTCTTGCAAACCCTTCTGTTAGGCAGGAAATTATTTCACAATGGAATGCTTAAGAAAAGAAAAGGAAGAAATGACGTGTGTGTGTTTGGAATGGCCATGGAAGAGGACTGGTGAGGAGACACAAAAATAGTTGACACAGTCATTTGTGTCTATACTTTGCCAGCAATTCACTTTGAAGCCTCTGAAGTCACTTTTACATAAGTGATAGTACATGTTTGACTGTCACTGACTGCCACCAGCACCAGGGGACCTGAAAGTCATCTAGACTGCCTAGAGCCCCACCATGGTAGCCTGAGATAGTGCTTATATACTTTCTTTTGGAAATCTCTAACTGTGGCCTTGAAGCAATAAAGAAGTCTTGTGCAAACAAGTACATGCTGCTCCTTCACAAACAATCTATGAACTCAGGGTAGAAAGCAACTAACTATGAGATCGAAGCCACAGTCATCATCTCTCCTGGGTCTCTCAGGACCCCTTTGCCTCCCACAGTGAGGAGCTACTGACTGGGCCGGGGACGGCACAATGCGTCTCTAAAACCACCCAATAGAGTGTGTCTCAAACAATTCACTCTCAGCCCTAAGAATTTATTATAAAACGTACAGGGGTAGGCAAAAGTAGGTTTACAGCTGTGAGCAGGCAAAAACGGTTTATGCTTGTATTATTATTCATTATTGTATTATTTTTCCATACCAACAGCTGAAACCTACTTGGACCCATCCCTGTATTACTGAGGAATGACTGCTGAATGGCCCTTCTCTTGTAGTATCCTGGTCTCCACTGACCCTCTAAATGCAAGTTCATGAATAGTTCCATCCTCCTTCTATCTGTTCCCCATCATTCCCTTCCCCTAAAATGCTCTCCCTGCCCCTGTCATTTCCAGCAACTCATCAAGGGGCAGCGCAAAACCACAGCTGGCACTTCTCCCCACTGCACGGCACACTTCCTCTGTCCTGGCTTGACAGTGCTTTTTGCATCTGGCCTCCCGAACTCCTCTGGCTTTTTTCCAGTGCCTTCCACCTTGTTTTTATAACACAAAGGAGACCTGCAAATGTTTCTTGAGTTTATGCAAATCCCTTTCTAAAAATACACCAACTCTCTTACATTCTACTACTCACCAACCTCATCCTGTTTACCTAGTCGGTAGTTTACTCACAAATTCAACTTCCTCAATTAAATAACACAGGCTTTCAGCATCAGAGCTATACCTGACTGAACTTTAAGTTATACTTGTGAAGATTTTTCATACTTTTCACAGGGCAAACGCAGCATAGCAGGTACTGATGTTTTTCTAGTCCAAGGTCCCTTTAAATGACTGACTTTGTTCTAAAAGTAGTACTGGCTTCAAGGAACTTCTTTAAAAGGAAAACAAAAGGAGTGCGGCTGACACTTGACAGAAGCAAGATGCCCCACCTAACTACAGACCTGCTCCCATGGGTCACTGCACTGCTATTCCTCTCTACTTTTCTGTCCTTTCCCTTTTAAAAAAAATGAGCCATCACATTTACAAGCAGAAAACTAAAATTTGCAAAGTCAATAAAGTGTCTTGTATTGTTTGGAAGTATCTTCATTAAGACAATTTTGAACTGTCAGTTAAAAACAATCTTAATTGCCTGGACATCCTGACTATCCCACGTGACTCATTCCTACACATGCAGTGCATGTATTTTTAGGGAGAATGGTCCCAACGCCAAATGTTCAGAGTATCACGGGAAGACCCCTTTGATGTCACATTATGTACTTACCAACTCTGGACCAATCCCACCGAAGGGCGGCTAAGTAAATTATCTGGCAGAAGATTGACTTCTCTCATGGTGTTAGCCAGGCGCACAGGAAGCTCCTTCCGTAGAAACATGTATGAAGTTTTCTCACATGCATTGTCTCTCCCTATTCAGAGATGAAAAAAAGTACCAGGATTTACAATCTAACAAATGGAACAATGAACGCTCCCATGGTAGCAGTTACTGGTTGGGAAGAGAAAATTAAATAATCCAGCAACCTCTGGTTAAATTTTTATCCTCTGAAATAGCAAGTTTAAGAAAATAATTAGAATAGCAAAAGAACATTTATTCCAAGAGGCCATCTTGAAAGCAGTTTCATTTTCCTTAACACAAATCTGTTCCTAGCATCACCAGTTTTGATCTAAAAGGGACCTGCGATATAGTCTGAATTTGTTTTCCCTGTGGGAAAACTGCCAAGTACAAAAGCAGGGGAACATACAAATCCATGCCTGTTCAGAGGAGTTTCTGGAAGGCAACAGATCCATTCATTCCATAAATATTTGCCTACTATGTACCAGGATTTTCATCTAATATGTTTCTTTGGGCACCACTCCACCGCTCAGGGAAGCAGCCACAGGCCCCATCTCTGACCGAGACACAGGACTCAGGATATGCCAAAGAAACCAGACCACAGGTGCTCTCAGGAACAGAGTGACCTACCATGGCATGTCTGAAAGGGCCAGACACTGCGTGACTCTAAAGACAGATGTCAGGGAGTCTTCTGTTGATTGCTCTGAGCTGGTTGTGCATCAAATTTTCCTAACCAGGACATAGTGAGAAAAAGGTACCTGGCCACCTGAAAAAGGAAACCTGAGCCCCTTCCCTGAGTGGACTCATGACTGACCCTCCTCCGAAACCCCCAGCCCCACTGGAAACCTGATAGAAAGGACATGAGCTTTGGAGACAGAAATGTGCTCCAGCCCCATCTCCTCCATTTTGGGGTTGGGACACCATCGGTAAGTTTCTTAAGCTCTCTAGGTTTCAGCTGCCTTTATCTATAAAATGGGGATGGAACTTCAGTTTTTGTCAAGATTGTGGCAGTGTGTGTGGAGCCAAAGAGCAAGTGTTCAATAACCATTAGTCCCTCTTCTGTCCTCTGATATTTATGGATCCCTCCTAAGTTGCTCGCACTGGATAGGCCTTCCTGCTGCTCCATATTCCCTGGAGGCTGCTCAGACATGGACAGCCTCGGGCCCAGGCAGAGAGACAGGGAAGCTTACCTAACAACCCACTCTTCCAAACTCTCCTCATTCTTCCTATTGTGACAAAGGTGGTGCCACAGGCAGTCGGCAGAGTAGAACTATTGCATCCCCCTAGTCCAATGCTGTTGAGGGGAGTGTTCCATCCAAGAAAGATGGGGTCTGCAGCATGGGACAGGGACTCAGCACTGGAATCCTGGCAGCTATCCCTTCACCTCTTTCCCCAGGAGACTCTAGTCTGCTCTGCCCCCTGCCCTTGGTGGGAGTCCAGGGTAAGAAGCTGAGAACAAGATTTTGTGTGCTGGCCTTTTAAGAGGGCACCTGTGTTGCTAGCAGATTTCTGCCTCTCCCTGGGGAGAGAATCCCTACTGCTTTTCACAGCCAGATGCTATGTGGGTACCTCTTCCCAGTTCTGGTGCTCTCTGCTGTGGAGCCCAGCTTGGGGTTGAGACCCCGTGCTTCTCAGGGGGAACCTTTGCAGCTGAGATATCGCTCCTCAATGTCAGCTACCACCCTCGGGAGCCAGGCCAGCCCTTTTCATGTCTCCACCCTTCCTACCACTCCCTAAGTGGCTCATTCTGTAAAACCTTGGTTATAAGACTTCTGTTCAGCTAGTCTTCGGTTTGTATTCAGGTTGATTGTTCTATAATATAGTTGTAATTTTAGTTTGGTCCTGGGAGGAGGTGAATATAGCTCCTTCCACATAGTCTGCCACCAACCTGGATCCCCAGAAGGAATTTATTTTTTAAGTTCAGAAAAATGTTGACATTGTCCCCATAGGAAGAGTAACTCAGAGAATGGGGAAGAAGAGAAAGAACCTTGTGGTGATGAATCAGAACTGGGAGTATCAGTATGAACTCAGGAAAAAATTAGTTGACTTTTTGGGTAGGGGAAGTTTACATGCTTACATTTCCATGTCCACAGCATATTTGGAGCATCAACTTAGAAGCGCGTGGGTAAGGTGAAGAGGGAGGGTGATGAGAAATGAGAGTGGGGCTGGCAGGTGCCAGGTGGCAAGGGGAGGCCAGGTCCACATCTGTTCTGGAAACCTTCAGGGCTAGATAGTTTTGGAATATAAAGGTTGTCCGATTTTAGGGCAGTAAAAAGGACTATGTACATACATTGTGTAATATGATCTATTACACAGACACCAATCTGTGCACATTTACACAGAGGAGGATACAGACCATGACCTCAAATCAGGCTGGATAAGCTTTTACCATGCAATGAGTTTTGCCACCAAAGGTATGAAAAAGACCTTGAATTTTTAGAGCTTGTTACACAACAGAGTTCAGATATGAGACTGCAGTCCTGCAGAAAAGTAAAGCCAAGATTAAGTGCTAGCGGTGGACTTGTGTTTGAATCCTGACTCCAGCACCCACTAGCTTCATGAACATAGATAAGTGTCATTACATTTCTAAGCCTCAATTATCACCGTCTATAAAATAAAGACAGCCCTGGCTGGTGTGGCTCAGTGGACTGAGCGCCAACCTGCAAACTAAAAGGTTGCTGGTTCAATTCCCACTCAGGGCACATGCCTGGATTTTGGGCCAGATGCCCAGTTAGGGGGCATGTGAGAGGCATCATTGCGATTTCTCACACATTGATATTTCTGTCCCTCTCTTTCTCCCTCCCTTCTCCTCTCTCTAATAAGTAAGTAAATAAAATCTCTTTAAAAAATAAATAAAATAAAAGCAGTGCCTATTTTGTAGAGGCTGTGGTGAGGGTGAAAAAGTACCAACATTTAATATTAACAAGTTGTTAAAATGTCGAAGAAGGGGCTCATTAAATAGCAATGACTAACAATGCCAAGGATGATAAAATGAAACAGCCTGAGGCCATATGTGCCAGATCGAAAAGGCCTGGTATTTTCTGAGCCCTGAGAGCCTGACTGCACTCTGGTTCAGTGCTCTGCCTGTGCTCATTTGATGATTCTACATAATTAAAAAAGGATTAAAAAGAATTAAAGTATGTTTTGTGTCCCCAGCATCCACTTCGATTTATTTTAAAATAAAAGGCCTTGATGCTTACATTGGTCGACTCTGCACTAACTAGAAAACACAACCACTCATTTGGCATGGTCTCAGCTGACCAAGTTGCAGGAAGCATTTATGCTAGCCTTCTTGGATTATTTATCAGCCTTTTATAAACTAGCGTAGAAAGCAACTTTGTTTTATTTGTCTTTCTATATGTCCCCCAAGGCACCAATTAGAGGGCCTCACCTCTGGTAGCTTCTCAATGATTTATTGGAGAATAGATAATACTTTCCAAAATTTGTAGTTTCAAAAAAGAGTACCTGAAAAATGTCAGGTTTTGCCTCCTACATTCTAATTTAGCTTTCGAGAAAACTTCTTTGTACTCAGATACCTTAATTATACATCAGCTTAAACAGGGGATACGTCTTTTATAGTTAATTAGTGAACCTAAAAATATGAACTACCCGATTTTTTAAAAACTTCTCAGTGGTTTTCCTCATATAAGTTGAAAATATTTTATCCTGTGTGTTAATGCTGGATACTTAGTTTCACCAAAGGGTTCCAATAAACTTTTTAAAAGTAAACTTACAAAAAAAGAACATTTTGCTTTTCATTGAATGTCCTCTCATAAGGGTTCTGTTTTTATAAGTCTTCTGACATACTATTTTCCAGTTATTTGACTTCATTTTTTCCCCACTTATGTGGCTTTTCTACATTCCTTAATTTTGATTTTCTATTTTATTCTGCATTTCTCTAAATACTTTCATCTTATTCAAATGTACCAATTAAATCATTCCCTAGTATCAGTTCAGAGGATGGGTGAGGGGCAAGGAAAATTCTGACTTAAAGAACACAAATTAGTCGTTGGCTTTAATAGACTTGTGTGTATTTTTCTTCACTGCTTCCTCCTCATTTAATGGCCCTTTTCATTCTCTTCGGTTTTCTGTTTGTTTTTCATACTTTGCTCTTTCATTGAAAAGTTGGAGACAATTACTACATTTGCGAAAGGTATGATTTGCTTTGCTTGGAAAGGTTCCAAATAGCTTTCCATTCACCAAGATGTAGAATGAATTAGACATAGAAACGCAAATGACATTCTATTAATGCAGGGAGCCCTCCCCCTGATGGTCACCATAAGAAAGGAGCATTTGACTAGCCTTCTGAGAGCAAGAATAATACTCCAGACTTATTCTTTACATCTGGTTTTCACAGTGGCCTGTATGTCTGGTGAATCTTTAATCTTCTTTTCAACTAAGTTATATGAAGCGGGAAAAAATCCTTATTATTTCTTCAGTTAATGAAGTGATCTGATGATATATTTTATAATTAAAGAGAGGGCTGAGAAACTTCACAGCCAAATGTTGAATCCCCTCTCTGGATTACTCGAAGGCTATCTTTGTCCACATGTTTCAGCTTTCTCACACCTGGTAGGGGATGGTTTGGGGGGAGTAGTAATGGAATCAGGGGGTGGAAAATGAGAGCAACAAATGGAAAAATTACAAGCAAGGCACCAAAATCCAAGAGAATGATCAGCTCATTCAGATAATGTTTCCTTCTCTAAATACTGCCAATTAAATGTTTGAGTTTCCAATGTATTTTTACCATTAACCATGTTAAAATGGATAAAATATAACGGAGAAAAAGCACTTTAAGGGCAGCTCTTTTATTTTTCTCCAGTTATAAGATTCCAGTCTTTTGAAAACACTGAATTTTGAAATCATAAGTAATTAAGTCTTAGAGTTACCAGGGCTAAACAACGATTAACTGAATAGTACTTCAAAGAAACAAACTGAAGTGTGAATGGAGAGCTATCAAATGATTGTGAATATCCTTCAGAAGAATCCCTTATTTTTTTTTTTGCTTCACTTATACTTTTAAAATGTTTGTTTTACTCCATTTCCAGAAGTACTATTTCATTTCCTGAGAAGTTT